TAAAATAGTTAAATTATCTATCAAAAATTAAAAGGCAAAATACATTATTGCTATGACTATCATTTTAAATCAGTTATTTCAGTAAAGCTAATTTTTTAATTTTTGAAAACTTATTTCTATGAACTTTTATAAAAACAGAACTATTCATGATTCTAATGTTCAATGTCCATTTAGTTGCCAATGTCAACAATGCATGTTTCCTCTATATGTACAAGTCTATCAATTTAAAAGCAACATTAATTATTTATTGTTTAACCTGAATATACAAGTGCTGCAAACACACATACATTAGTATATGAAGAGAGAAAAGAAAATAGACACTCAACAGTACTGAACATGATACCAGTTTTAATCCAAGTATCTACTACACTCACACTGGGGAAGAATTTGACAAGTTCATTTGGCTTTTCTTCTCCCCAATTGCTCCCCCTGTTCAAATTCTCCCCGCACTCAGAAGTGGCAGCTTCAAAGCATGTGAATGCAGTCAAGATGAGTTTTCCTGGGGCTTAAATAGTGTTAGTCATGAGAGCAAATGTTCAGGCTATTGGGTTGTTATGTCAGAACTAAACGCCAGAGCCTCAGTAACAGAGATGTTCAGGTGTTCTTAAATAAATTTACTATATTCTGGTGCATTTTTGTGAAATGTAGGGCTTTTAAAGGTGCACGACCAAGAGAAGGAGTCCTTCTTACCTGGGCCTAAGGACAATGCTCTTCATATACTCCTGACATGGGCACTGGGGGGTCCAGCCTTGAGAATTCCCAGGAAAGAGGCCCCTTTCATGTGCCAGCGCCCATGTCTACCATAGAGGCTTAATGTCAATCTGGCATGAAAGAAAGATCAAGTATTTACTGAACATGAGAATGTTGCCTCCTAAGGTATCTGAGAGAGTATGATTAGACAGTGAGTATCTCAACTCAAATAACAACATGGAACTGTAAGAAGACTAAGTGAATGGGGTGGTAGCTGTGGTATATGTGGATTGCCCAAAGAACTAGTATTTGAAAGTGTGACACAGGTTTATTCAGACCTGGTTCCTCGATCTCCTCAGCACTGAATTTCTTCACTCCTCTTTAGTCTTTCATTCCCACGACAAGGACCATATCAAGACACCTCGTTATCACATGAACTTGCTGCTCCTCAGATACCTTAACTTCTAACATTCCACTCCAAACACAACCTCCTTCTCCTCCAGCTTTCTCCTTTGCCAATTCTCTGGCCCCATTATCACCCTGTCTAGCAAAGGTCAAGCACAGAAGAATGCAATGCTTTGATTTCTATATGCTAAGAGTGCTGCTCGAGAAAATTACTCAACTTGGCAGAATGGAGCCACTATTAGTCACCTGTCCTCAATGTCAAATGGGCTTTCCGTACTGCCTCATTTCCTTTTCTATGGTCAACGATGGATCCAGAGAAGCTTATATATCTTAGGAAGAGAATACAAAATCACAGATAGAAAATTAGGTACAAAAGTGGATGTTGATCTAGAATGAGAAAAACAAACATGAGTAACTGGAGCCGTGGGAATGTAAGGTCCTCTGAGCTCTCTTTAGGCAGTTTACCAGCAATGCTTGCATAAAAGTGCTTTCTGATAGCAACCTGGCTTCCCCTCTCCAACTAGAATGCAACTCCCAGCAATTCCCTTTACTAACAGGGGTCCGGGGAAGCTTCAGAAGCTTCACAGTGAAACTGTCTCTGAGTTTACAATACCTAGTTTATGTCCTCTCCATATTCTCAAGATGCTCAACCCACTAATTCCCTTGAACTGTTAACAGGTGATTTCTACTCTGACTTCATAGAGAACGTGAAAACCATCAGTTGTAAACTCCCTCAACTTTCTGCTACCAAACCAACAAACTTACCTATATGCCATTCATATTTTCTTTCTTTCCAGCTTCTATAGCAGAAGAAGTGTCACTCCATCCATTTTTGAATCTTTATATTATAAATTTCTCTTACAACTGTCTCCTAGTTTCTTTAAAGATAGAGTTTCTGTTTCTGTTTGCTGCCCTCCTTGGATCTTTCCTGTTCCTGCTCTCACTATAAAGCCACTTTGCAGAAGCACTCATCTTAGTCTGAGGTGGGGGTAAGAGATCAGAGAATACTTCCTGAACCAAGTGGCACGAGTTTAAGCAAGACCTGAAGGATGAGTCAACAGGGGAAGGGGCGGGAAAAAGTGGTCCAGGCAGGCAGCAGGCTCAGAAGGTGCAAAGAACATGCCACATCTAAGAATCTAAAAGAAATGAGGAAAAGCCAAAGGTAAGAAATGGGTCATTTGACCTTGAGAAACTTAGAGTATGGAAAAAGGCTCTTGAACAGCTAACTTCAAAATGTTTCACTTTCTCAACTATATCTGGTTCAGATCATGCTACATTCTATATGATTTAATTCAATAAATTTTTATTTACTGATAAATAATGCACAATTTGTAGGTGACTCAAATGTGAGCAAGAGATGGTCCTTACCCTCAAAGAGCTTATGGCCCATAAGGTAAATAAATGACAAGTACAAATTGACTGCCAAGTGGGCAGAATAGGAGAGCTTTAAGTGACACAGAGGGTTAAAGAAGTAAATTTTATGTTATGTATATTTTAACCATAATAAAAATAATTACATGTTCCAAGGATTCCGGGGTTTGCATCTGCTTAGAAAGACTTCCCATACCTGAAGATTATAGAGAAGTCTGTTTACTCTTCTAGAAATGTTATTTATTAATATGGAGTTGATAGGAGGTGCAACTTTTGGATAGGTAGTTCAGGGAAAGAAAAGAGACTTCTGCAACAGTCAGGGGAGGAAGTGGCAAGGCCCTGAAGCAGGGTGATGAAGCGGAAGTACCTTCTGACTGGGAAGGTAGGATAGGATTTGTTTTTCAACTAGTTATGTGCTTGATGCACAGTAGGTACTTGAATGATTGTTGAATGAGGAGGGGGAATAGTCAGTACAGAGAACCCCTGAGGTTTCTAACCTGGGCAGCATGCACAGTAGTAATAATACTATTAATACTAATATTTACTGAAGGAGGAAGATAAGGTTATGAGTGAATTAGGATGTTATATTTTGGACATGCCAATATTTTTAGGTGCGGCTTAGTCACGTGGGTGAGTCCCGAAAAGAAGTCAAAAGTCAGGTCTGATGTGGAGAAGAGTTTAGGCAGACAAATTTGGTTTTGAACTCAGCCAATCAAGATGATTGCTGAAACTGTGGGGTTGCAAAGGAGAGTTAAGAGTTTCAAGAGAGAATGGATAGAAGCTTGAAGAATTTTAGCCTTTCAGTGGGATGAAGAGAGAGGACAGCAAGAGAAGCAAATAATTTGTAGAGATGGCACTTGAAATGGGCTTGATGAAAGGGTTTTGACAACAGTAGACTGGAGGGTGGGGTACTGGAGGTGGTGAAGGGTTCTACGCAGAAATAACAACATGAAGAAATAGGGAGCAGGGGAGCACTCCACTGAAGAAGCCATTCAGTAACCAAATATTGAATAAATATATTGTAGAAGAATTCTGGGGATGGGTTAGCCAACATTATCATTGTGGAGAGATAACCACCAAGCAAAGGCCATTTCCCTCAGGGTTGCTGTGACTACTAAGATTTGGTTGTTTGAGTCTGAAGTGAGTTTGATAGCATTTGCTCTCCTTTGCTTAAGCTCCCACCAGATATCTGGTAACTTTGGAGTTTCTCAGGTTTCTAAACATAGTCAGTGGTCCCCTAGCCTAGATTTAGATTGGGCGTTCCAATTTTCTTTGTTGTGACCCATCTTTGTGCCATGTCTACACAAGGTGGTTTTCAGGTGTACTTTCATCATTACTTTTCGTTTGTGTGTATGTGTGTGTTTAAATGAAAAATTGGATGAGATCATGTTTCTGGGGAAAGGAGATAATGGCAGCAATGCTACTGTCCATGGCTCAAAGTATCGCACTGCAAACACATGCTCTAAGAGGGTCGTAAGAAAAAAATTTAAGCTAAGTTTGAGTCCTACTTTCCCCAAAGACCCTAACTTGGTTTCAAAGATTCACAATTTGGTTGATATTAAAAAGACACATAGAACTTTTAAAATGACAAACAGCTTTTTAAAAATTTTCAAAGTTATCATTTTTCATTCACTAGACTGGCAAAGATCTGCAAAGCTTGATAACCGTTGAGGCAGGGGTATGAGAAAGCAGGCACTGTCCTACACTGCTCGTGGGACATTTGCTGTGACTTCTTTGGAAGGCAACTGGCAATACTTACTAAGTACACATCTCCTCTGACTCAGGGTGTTCTGGACAAGATAATTCAGTGCAGCATAATTTGTAGTGGCAAAAGATAGCAACAACCTAAACTGTCCATCAGTAGAGACTGGTTAAATACTTATGGCTTATCTCCATCATGGAATGCTTTCGTCATTACTGCTATTTATGCATCAAATAGCTCTAGAACTGTACACTAGGAACTAGTGACACTGGTGGCCTCTGGGAGGGAACTGGTCTGAGGAGACAGGGGACAGGAGGGACTTTTCTCTTCCCTTTTATACCTGATGAATATGTAACTGATCTCCACCCACTACCCCAACTGAAGCAAAAAGAAATTTTCTGGTGGTAGAGAGGACACTAACACTTTTTCCCCCCCTTCTTTAATCCCTCCCCAACCCCTCTTCCACCCCTGACCTACGGATGTTGCCTTCTCCTCTTAAGAACTAGATCTCTGAAGGCGGGGCGTCTATTCCTACATGCTTGCGGCACGCACCCGGGGTATGGTCTGTGGCTTCACCTAGGGCACAAACCCAGGACCTTCTGTGTGTAAAGCAGACGTGCTAACCATTACACTATGGAGCTACCCCCACTAATACTTTTAACACATAGGAAATTCGAGATAAAGTCATTAGTTATGATGGGAATCATTTAGAGAAGTTCAAGAGTTGAGGGTCACCTGATCTTTCCCACTCATATTTCCTCTCCACACAAAACATGAGGCAAAAAGGGAAGGGGTAAGGGCATCACGGCACAAAGAAATCATGAAGCTAAGAGAGCGGTAGGGCAGAGACTTTATTGTGGCTGCTTGTAGTAAAACATTCAACCTTTCGACATGTGCATTAGAGTTTTTTTTTTTTTTTCCTGGAGACCACAGTGTGATGCTCAAAGGCCTTTAGCCTCATCTTATGTCAGTCTAGGCAATGGTTGTCTATTTTAAAGTTCAACGAGTTAAAGGAAAAAGTCAGGAAAATTTGGTTTAATATCCCAAATTAAGGGCTGCAAGATCTGCGAACCATTCTTGTAAAGTGCTATGTTCAGTGCAAAAAGGGCAGAGTCAGAAGGGCAAGCAGATACCAGGGAATAACATTTCCTAAGAGACAGAAACATTCTATAACTCGAAGAAGGAAAAGCCACTTGTCAAAAGGGATCTAGTATTTTCTTTGCAGTCTTTTCATTCTCTAATAGGACCAAAGCTTTGAATCTGATGGGTGCCCATAATAGTTGTTTATTTTACTATCAAAAACCTGGCTCAGAAAGAAATCCATGGGATTCTAAGCACCAGAGACACTGACTTCGGCCTGTAGTTCTTATTTGTATCAGCAGCAAATGTGAGATCAACAGGCTGAGCTCTGGCTGGTGAGAGGCTCAGAGCTGCGGAGCTTTTCTTGGTCCCTTTTTTTGGAAATCCAAGTCACTGAGTATGACAGACCCTTTCTAAAACATCACATCTCCGGTGGGAAGACAAGCCAGTGCACACTAAAGGAGCACGCCACCTAGTTTCACCAACTGGATGGGACCTATTCAGCATCCCCTCCTCTTACTCTTGTCCACAGGCCCACCTCCAAAGCAAACCCTTGACTCCCTCTGTCAAGATAAGAACTACACTGTCTTCTCAATGACTGTGGCTCTCTGCATATCCATCCATCAGTTCTGAAGAGAAGCAGAAGAGAAGAAGTGGTTTCCTAACCAATTTAAGGGGCACAAATGGGACTGTAACAAAATAGGCAAAGTCTAGCCATTCATCTTAAGATCCTGCATCCATTTTTCTCCCCAGACTCTCACAGAGAGAGCCACATTCTCTCATTTTGCAGCAGGGATATTCACAAAAGCCAGCTCTGTGCTTGCAAGCAACTCCCTTGCATTCCTGTTTGGAAAGGCTCACCTTTCTCTCCCTGCTGGATGAATTCGATGGTGCCCATCTCACCCGTGTCTGGGGTTCCAGACACCATCACTTGTATGTATACCCATAGCTCCTGGAGGCCAGCACCGGAGGACCCTTCTGATTAGACTACCATCCAAGGACTCATGATAACTCCTTGTGCTTGTGAGAGGAGACACCTGGAGCAGTTTTAATCCATAGGTAGCACGTGCCCCAAAGCTGTCTCTGAATTTTGGGAAGGGAAGGAAGAGAAAAGAGGTGATCCTTCTGTCACTGCTCTGTAATTCTCTGTAAACTCTCCTAGCTATGAGGAGCTGCTGGAACATCTCCACACGGAGGAGCTGTGCACAAATGGGATGGCCTGGGTTCTAACCAAAGTGCGGGGAAAGTTTTCAGATCGGCAGAAGTCTAAAATAAAGTGCCTCTTTTCAGTAGAAGAGTTTCATTTGTTCGGAAATGCTTGGGTGTAAACATGAGTGCACAGGATTGTGCACATACACTCACTCACTCTGAGGTAGAAAGAACTGGCCATCTCCAGATAGACACACACAGATTCCACAATTTTACAGAAACATGGCACTTGCGTGAAAGGTCCTGTCCTTGCTCAAGACGGCAAGTAGGATCCAATCCAGCTCTTTCCAACTTGGGCAGAGCAAGGAAGGTCTTACTACACAGGAAAAAAGTGGACAGCATCTCCATCATTTCTGTCCCACAGTTCTCAGGCCCTGCTGTCCACGATCACTTCCTGGAGCCTGAGCCATGGGCACCCCGGGTGTGGCTTGTCAGAAGCCACTGGGCACAGATGTCTTGCACTACAGCATCCCCACTGCTCTTGGCAGCCTGCTGCACCTGCTGGACAAGAACTGTGGCCCGTGAGTGTTCTTGCTTCACAGCAATCAGGTAGGCAGAACGTAGCTTGCAACATGTCAGGTAGGCCTGAACCTGGCAATGGGTATAAGAGACAGTGGAAAGAGAATGTCACCGATGAATCACCAGCAAATAAACAGTGCTGCATCAGAGCCCAGAGAGCTATCACTTCTCACTCACTAAATCAATCATTGCAGTCTTGCCTTTTATTACATTATAGCAACTCTTTAAATGTCAGGATACTAGGCTAGTAAATTGTGTTATTTTAAAGTGCAAAAAGTTATTACAAATAAGATAAGAATTTCAAAGAGAAGAAGGCAAGCAGGAAGGCAGAGTCTGGCCTGTCCACTCCCTCTGAGGCCCACCTTTTCACTATCCTGGGCTCTCCAGCTTCCTCCTGGCTTCACTGCCCACAAGTTGCGATTTTAGTTATTTGGGTGATTATTTGATTGATGTCTGCCTTCTTGACTAGACTTTAAGCTCCATGAGGGCAGGAATAGTGTCTGCTTTTTTTTACCATTGTGCTCCTCGTGCCCTGGCATGTTCAATAAGTATGCCTCAAGTGAATGAATGAATGAATGATTGAAAGAACCATTATTGCTGTCTCACATAGATTGTTTCTTGATTTTTCTGTTTTCAACCTGCTAAATTTAAAATCTTTTAACAGGAAAGATTAAGTTAGACCTTAATTAGAAAAGGTCTAACTTTTGTAGTTTGGATCGGAGGCAGCTCAGTTTTGGGTACGTGAGGTGTCTCTCCTACCCGCCATCTCAAGGATCCCCAACTTGGTGGAGATGAGAACCCCTTCCTCCAATGGTCCCGATCTCACTAGCAGCTCCCTGATTAGTCAGTGTTCCAGGCCAGCCACCAGCAAAGCCCTCATAAGCTGATTCCACTAGGAGTTGCTTTTCCTGATTGGAAGGGACTCTTCTTTCTTCATATTTCAATGCTCCCTATTCTTTTTTGTCTTGGTCACTAAAGTCTTTTTTCCTAAGCTCAATTACAGAAAATCTCCTACAGCTGAAAGATGTCTGGCATATTCTGAGCTCACTAAAGTGATCGAGTTCTGCTGTTTGGGTATCTCTACCTGCTGCTCAGGGTGTTAGCTCTCATCCAGGCCTTTGGCTCCACTTTGCACCTATGGATGTTAAATATACAACACAAGTGGCTGGCAAAATTCCTACCAAGAGAAAGAGGGCACTTTGCCAGAAGTAGGAACTGAACGAAGCTGAGTTTTGGAAAGATTTTGTGGCCTGAGATCACTTAAATGCATTAGAAAAGCTGTTGAAAGAAAAACACCTTAAAAGTAATAACGACACTCTAGATTTTAGTGCACATCTTTTCCAGGAACAAAGCCTCAGTCCAGTTGAGTGGGAGGCTCACCGAAGGCTTGGAAAAGGACCGCAGTCTGGGAATCAGGGAACCTGGGTGTCTGACCTGGCTGTTGGGTTCTCATTTTGATTCTAGGAAAAGAATTCTCCACATTTCAGAATGCCAGAATTCCAAACTTTCTATAGGATCTCTTCAGGATGTTGTAGAAATAAATGAAGAAATGTTAAGAACATGTTCTCTCCAACCCCTCAAATGAAAAATACCCTCAAAGTTCACTCCAGGGATAACAATACTGTCATGTGAGCAGCTCTGGCTGTGTAAGAGGATGTCTGCCTGACACTGGCTTTATTATGAGGGACTCAGCTGCTGGATCGTTCCACTGCTAGTGCCCAGGGCAGTCAGCTGGGTTTTCCCATGCCTCTCCTAGCCTGCACGCCTTCTTCTGGATGGCAGGTGAGGAAGGCTATGGTTAGCCACAAATAGAAGCAGCTGAGAATACTTTTATTCTGGTTGGCACTCCTTACAAAGACAATGTGAAACGAAGGCGCATCAATTTCCTACCAAACAGGGAGGAGATCACTGGCCGCAGGGGAAAGGACTGGTCCAGAGAATGACATACCAGTGATATTTGTTGGTCAAGGGCTGGGTGGGTTTTTTTCTTACTGTATAGGATACCCTTTCCCTCCAGGACAAAGAAATGCTGCCCACTTTGAGAACCTCATTCAATCAGTCACCTGAAGATAGAACTGGGGGATTTCTTAAGCCTCTCTGAGAAAAGACTTCCATAGAAAATGGAGATTCAAGAGCAGCCTAAAACATGTTTGTCTTGGGGATAAAGAAATAGGATGGCAAAGGCTCTTGCGGTCACTGTCTGTATGTTCCCTATCTATTCCCTCCCTTCTGGACTTCTATCTGGGTCACAGCTCCAGAAATGGATAACTAAGAAGCTATAGAACTGTCATGGGGAGCAAAGGATAAAGATGACAAAGCAAACCTAAGGTGATGTATGCAAGCATCACCAGGGTTTGGAGACAATTCTGCTTACCTTGTTGTCATCATTGTGTATTGCCTGGATCAGGCCCTCCAGCTCCTGTGCAAAACAGAAACACAGCAGCCGTGAGAGGACAGAGTCCCCACTGTGGGAACTGGGGCCCGATCCAGTCTCAGCCCAGACATTCTGACTCCAGAGTGGGGATGCCTGTCTGACTCTTTTTAAACTCAACTCCTGCTGTAAGAGCAGCAAAGGAAATCTAATGATGATACTAAGCTTAGGAATTTGAGAAGGAACAATTCCCAAGAGGCCTGTCCTTGGCCTTCACAAATACATGTGGCTCTGTGCAGCCCAAAAAGAAGCCACAGGGGGACATTTCTGCAGGCAACATGCTTCAGAGGCCATCTGCGGGCCCACCTTGACCTCCTCTAAATCACAGGGAGAAGCTCGACTCTGTTGGCCCATAGACACTTCCGGGTGCAAACAATACTAGAAACAGATACTGAGGGCCATGTTCTGGGTATAGAGGTTTTTACCACGAAGTTTCTTTCCAGGGAAGGGTGAGGCCATTATTACAAAGGGTCAGAAAGATAAAAGGATCTTATTGAGTTTCAGGTACACTACAGTGAACAGAAAAATAAAGAGGGGGATGTGGAGGCACTGAAGCAGATGGACGAGCCAAGAGGTATGGGAGTGAGCGCACCTGGGATGGAATTCTCTTGAAAGCTTCTAAGCAGTTGAGGAGGATGGTGTCTCCGTCACTTTTGGCTGCCATGCCTGACTCACTGACACATTTGAGCAGTTGTCGGATCTCACTGTATTTCTCCTTCTCCACCAACTGCCGAGCAGTTCTGCAGTAGGTCGCGGCAGCATCCAGCTGAAAGTCCTAGAACAGAACATGGGATGATGGGCTTAGGGTGGCAAGGGACATCGACAGCGGGAAGGGAGGTAACATTTAAAAAGTTTCCACTATGCTTGGTGTAGATAAGCCATATTAATTGTAGTCGCAATAGAAAACATACATATAACACACAAACAAAAAACAAGCAAAATGTTCCTCTTTGGAGATAGGTAGACATTTAGGAAGCAAACATAAAAATCGTAACTTTAATATATAAAACAGTGCAATACATACACGATGTATTATTGAATTGTACACTTGAAGCCTATTTGATCTTATTAACCAATGTCATCTCAATAATTTTAATAAAAAAAATTTCCAAGACCAGTTCATTTTCTTTCTAATAAATCACCTTTTCTTGGGAAACAAATGTTGGGGCTGGTATTTGCTGCCCTTGACAGCTGGTGCCTTAGCGTTTGGAAACAGACCAATTCACCAAAAGACCGATTTGCTGGAAACTACAAGATAAACATTTTAAGCCTGTTCTAGGACAATCCTTGCCACAGGGCCTGGGAGGAGCTGTGGCTCTGCCTGACCACCAGGGGTATCTGTGTGTGGAGAGCTTTGCCCAACAGTGAAAATGGGTGGGAAGAAAGAAATCTGACAGGTGGTTCATGGAGCCATTGATCCCTGAGAGACACATAATGCTTAAGTTCAAGACCCTGCTAGCCCAGAGCGATGGTCCTCAGAGTGTCTGTGTGTAACTAACTGTGTGGTGGTCCTGATCTGGAGATTCTGCTTCTTGTGGTTTCAGCACCTTGCTCCATCCTCTGCTCCAGTGCCATAGTCATACCTGTGTCCTCATCTCACAAGCAGTAGAAAATGTACTCATTGAGCCAGCTCCTGGGCAGATGAAGGATGGAGGAGAAACCCTTGCTGCCAGAGGCCCCTCCTGGCAAACAGAAACCCCCACCCTCATTGACCACTTCCTCTGTGAGGGTGAGCAGAGGCTCTGCAGGGAAACAGCTGTGGGGAATTCTTAGACCTGGTTACAGGTATTTACTTGATAGGTTTTGATGAATTTGTCATTGGTTACTTGGCTTTTGGTAAAGTGGCCTAGAGTCTTGAATCTGACCCAGTTCTATAATAGCCACTTCCTTGACTTCATCCTTGATATACATGTAAATCTGCTTTTCTTGGGATAAAAATTTTCTGAAGAATAATCTTTCATGGAATTGTAATCAGGTGCTAATCACCCTCAGCATAATCTTGAGTTATCCAAGTCATACCTGCAGAACACGGAACGCAATTCCAAAACCATCTTCTACATTTTTCCCTCCTAGCATGACCTGAAAAGGAGAGGGAAATGTGCTTACTGAAGCAATGATTACTGGAGTAACTCCTCAATTAAAAATGAGGGTCTCCATTTATTCGACAAATATTTGTTAAGACTCTGCTAAGTGCCAGGCACTAAGGATACAAGAGTAATCAAAATGGACTCTCTTTCCAGCCTTCTGTGGCTTGCACTCTATTGGGGAGGCAGCCATCAAACAAACAACTGAAATAATAACTAGATGATTGTAACTGTGATAACGTTCTGAAAAAATAGTATGCTGGAGTTTCGAAATAGTGTACGTACCTTGCAGGCAACATCCATTTTCATGTGGTTATTTCCAAACAGGGTTGGCAGAGGCAAGGTGGTGATTTGAGAGGTCCCAGCACTTTCACACCGATGTAAGAACCTAGTCACTTCCATCTGCAGCTGAAGTGTGTTCATGTGCCTATGGTGATAGGAGATGCAGTCTAGCCTCACGAGGGGCTTCAGGAATAACATGACTAGGGCTGGTGACTGAGAGGTCATAATGAGATGGCAATGGAAAAGGCAAAAGAAATAATGTGGATGGAAAAGAGACCAAAATACCCTCTAAGTAGTTGTGACAAGAAAAAAAGGGTGGTCTAGTGCCCTGCACAGAATCACAGTAGTTAAGGTGCTCTGTGAGACTGGATAAGGTCCAGTCCTTCAATCAGTACATATTTATGGAGCATCTATGTGCTGCTAACAACAGAGGTCAAGAGGTCAAGCTGTCCTTACAGAGTTCACAGGCTGAGGAGAGCTGAAAAATGAGCAAACACACAAAATATCTAGCAACTGGGTCTATGAAGGCAATAAATAGTAATGGTGGAGTATTTACTTTAGATGTTGTTTTCTAAGCAGAGGGGTCTTAGCAGCATAAAGGCTGAGAAGGAACCGCAGGAGGCCAGTGTGACTGATACTCAGCAAAGAAGAAGAGGGTAGCTGGGAGATAAGAGGGACACAGGCAGGGGCCAGATCACGCAGGACCTCTTTTGCCTACTGTAAGGGGATGAGAGTTCAGTGTAATTGTAACATGTGATCCCAATCTCCCCCCACTTTCCTCTTCTTCTGCTCGCTCCTCTGTAGGCTTTCCAAGCTTGCACTGGACACTGTGGTCCAGGAATAATCCTTATTAGTTATTCTTTTGAGTGCTCAAAATAGTATTTTTTATTTTTCAATTACAGTTGACATTCAATATTATTTTATATTAGTTTCAGGTGTACGGTATAGTGGTTAGACATTTATATAATTTATGAAGTAATCCTCCCGATAAATTCAGTACCCACCTGGCACCATACATAGTTATTACAATATTATTGACTATATTCCTTTTGCTGTACTTCATATCCCTGTGGCTATTTTGTAACTACCAATCTGTACTTCTTAATCTGTTCACCTTTTCACCCAGCCTCTAATTCCCTTTCCATCTGGCAACCATCAGTTTGTCTTCTGTATCTATGAGTCTATTTCTGTTTTGTTTGTGTATTTAGTTCTTTAGATACCATGTCTATTTCTGTTTTGTTTGTGTATTTAGTTCTTTAGATACCATGTATTTAGTTCTTTAGATACCATGTTGTTTGTGTATTTAGTTCTTTAGATACCATGTGAAATCATATGGTGTTTGTTTTTCTCTGTCTGACTTTTTTCACTTAGCATAATATTCTCTAGGTCCATCCATGTTATCACAAATGGTAAGATTTCATCTTTTATGACTGAGTAATAAGAAAAAATTCCTTTTAATGTGCAGTTTCTAGAGGGATGGGCAAGAGCAGCTTCATCACCAACAGACATTCAGTTCTAGTCTTTCTGTCCCACCTTAATTGTTCCCTGAACCCCGAGCTACCTTGACACATCTGCTGTAGTCATCTTCTTTCGGAAGAAGGTGGTTTTCTTCTTTCTAGAGCTGCGTGAGGTTTCTTGGAGGTAGATCTTCAGGTGATCCTTGGCCTTAAGCAGCCACGAGAGCTTCTCTCCCAGTTCTGTATATGTCTTTGCTTTGTGACTGAAGAACCGAATACAGGTCATGGCGGCCCGGACTTGGTCCTAGAAGAGAAAGATGAAATTTCAGGTCAAAGGAGGTCAGGGATACTGGAGGGTGTGAGGGGAATTTTGATCTGATTCTCACCCATGATGCCTGATTGCTAGCACCCATTCCCATTGCCAGCTGTACTGCTACTTTTATCAGTCACTCCTAGGCCCAAGAGATCCTGCAGCGAACTGACTGGCTGAGCTCCTGGGCAGGACATTATTCCACCACAGAAGAGATCTTAAAATGGGTACTTCTGATTATCTGTTCAACTTGGCTTCACTCTTACTTTGGCATGAAATAACTCAGTTTCTCTATGATTTAGTACTGGCAACCCTTAGACTGGAAGAAACTTATTCCCTCTCCCTTCATGCATCTTCTCTGAAAACACTTCTCCACTATTCCTATGAATTCTGCATTCATGCATGTTAATCTTGAAACTGTCTTTTTACCTTTGCATTGAAGAATGCCATTACTGATAAAAGTTCGCCTCTTTAGGATGAGGATGGAAATCCTAATATTACTTTAACCATGTTAGATAGCAACATGGATTTGCTCTAGAATTAGTCAGATAGCAAGGAGGGACCGAACAACAGTCTTGTTCCCTCATCTTGTGCAGTTGCCCCTTAAGCACAGCGAGGCATCAGTGACAGGGGTAGAAGGCAAGCTGGGGCTGCTCTTACCTTCATAAACTGCTGCAGCTCATACAGAATGTGGTAGTAGTTCTTCTTCTGTAAATGTTGGCAGGCAGCAAGCAAGTACTCTCCCCAGCACTCTAAGGTGGGATCAATGGATTCTAGCAAGTTTTCCAAAACATGTAGCTTCCCACTTTTATAGCTTGGCTGGAAAACGCCTTCTATGAAGACTTCTGGAGGACTCTCCTAGAGCAGGGCAAAGCAAAAAGGCAGAGATCTTGAGCCTAGGTCTGGCACTGTCTGGGATCCATTCTGAATTTCCTTCAGCGTCCTCCTAGAACAGTGCTTTTTAACCTTGGTGTGTCACAGATACTTCTGAGAATCCCACTCTTGTGACTGTTCCACTCTCTCCTTCCCTTTACAGAAAGATCCTTGACAGAGTTATCTATGCTGTCTCTTATTCACCTTCTGTGATTTTCTTGTGAACCTACTTGTATGTAGCTTTTGCATCCAGAAGTCCATTGAAACTGGCCCTAGGTCACCAATGACCTCTAGGTTTTAAATCTAAATGTTAATTCTCGGTCCTTGTTTTCCACCTGATCTATCAATAGCCTTTGATACAGCTAATGGCTTCCTCCTCCTTAAAAATCTTTCTTTATTTGGCTCCAGGACACCACCCTCTCCAGGTTTTTCCCCACTACTTTCTTGTTTCCTGTTCTTGACTAAAAAATCCAAACTTAACCTAACAGTTGAAGGGCTGATTTTGAGAAGCAGGGGCATCAGCTCAATAAGGTAAAATTCTTAAGAACTTCCATTTTATCCATGTAGCTATCCATGGGCCCACCTGAATGGGCCCACCTTGTTGAGGAGGTGCAGCAGAGCTTCCCGCTGCATTCATTCATAATTGGAACTAGACCAGGTGCTTGAAGACAGAGATTAGAAAAATATAGGCCTTCTCAGTATAGACGGGAAGACATAATTGTAAATAAATAGTTGCAATCCAGTGAGATAAATGCAGCAACAGAGCTATGTCCTAGTTATAATGGTGGCGTACAGGAAGAGGTGATGAAAGTTGCTTGAGTGTTCTTTGAACACTCAAAATGAGGGTCTGAAGGTATAAACAAGTATTTCTCATGAAAACAAGGAGGGGCAGGGCATTCTAGGCAGGGGGAACAGCACATGCAGACTCACGGAGATAAGAAAATATAGTACATTCAGGAAAATTTAAGTAATTTGGTAAATCTGGAATGTAGGGTATAAGTAGGATTTGTGGTGAAAAAAAACTGAGTAAGTAAGGGAGCCTGATCCTGGCGGGTCCGGCATGCATGCTGAGGCATTTGGACTTCAGCCCGTGGCCTTCTAGAGAGGAGAACAGCATGAATTATGAACAACACACATAATGTGTATTTATGTTTTGGAAAGTTCGCTTTAGGACAGAGTGATAGGTAAAGGAGTGAAAGGGCAGGGACTAGGCTGGGAATACAATGTCCCCCATGATCTAGGTTTAGTGGTAATTTTCACAATGTTTTTTTTTTTCCTCCCCTGTTGTTCCCTACTTGTTTGAGGCGAGATATTTAAGGTCAAGGGTAATTGTGATTACAGGAGATAAAAGAAGGCTTCTATGCTAGCTCTGACAAATGTAAAGCAGAGGCAATGCTGTCGTCAGCTTATACCAAGATAAGTAAGTAAGCAGCTTAACTCTCTTGACTAGCCCTTGGAAGAAACAGAACCGGGTGATTTCCATTCTTAATCTGACTTACTTCAAAACTCATTTGGAAACTGAAGACAAGGAAAAAGTTAGCAATTGAACTTCAAATAATATAACTTTCAAATTACTCTTGCAAAGTACTGTTGAGACCTGGTTAGTGGCTAAGGCAATAGTGTAGGGATCTGGTTACTATGACTGTGAATCACTGACTTCACTTGGAGCAATCCTACAGGGTATGTCTATTTGCAGACTCTCATTGGCTGTCATTCTGAATTAGGGTGGCAGACTGAAATTAAAATATACCTTGAGCTCTTTTAATTTTATATGAAATTTGGTACAAATCGGTCAATTCCTCAGAAAGTTTTCAGGGAGCATTCAGATAAAAAAGAGAACGCTAAAGGGTCATGGTGAAACAGAGTCCTGACTTTGCTCAACAATGGCTCCAAAGAAATAACATGGTGACTGGGCCTCCTGTGGGAGGAGGGCGGAGGATGTCAGAGGGAAAAGAGGAAAGCACACTCTCTCTCCTTCCATTAGCTATTTGGGGCCCAAATATAAGATTTGTGCCATGGCTGCCTCCTGGTCCTTGTGGTAACAACACCAAATGGACGAGCAGCTGAGTCAGCAGCAGGACACAGTTCCAGAGTAGGTGGGAGATATGTGGAAACAGAGATATGTTAAGCAATTTGCCCAAAGTCAAATTACTTATACCAAACATCTTATTCCAGAGATCCTGCTCACCACTACTATTTGCTTCTGCTGTATGTTTTGGGAGAAGGGATGAAATTTGTCACCGCCAGTCAGAAGGGCAATTTGGAATCCAGGTTAAGACTTACTGCACACTCATCAAATCATGATTCGTGTAGACAGAATTTTCCACTTTGACCTGACTCTGCCAGAGGTGATCTCATGGCTCAACACCGGGTTAAATTTAAAGGGGTTACCACGCCCTTTAAAGCTGAGTGGGCCCACCTTGTTGAGGAGGTGCAGCAGAGCTTCCCGCAGGCAGCTGTGTCTCACATAGAAGCTGATGATGGCCAGGTTGGTGCTATAGTTATGCAGGTAGAAGAGGCATTCTTGGTAGTAAGTGTTGTTCATTATCTTCCCTTCAGGAATCACTTCCAGAGAGAGGCTGTGGGTCCGAAGGGTAGTTTCCAGCTCTTTCAAAGTGGCCAAGTACTCGTCGTCTTGCTGACAGGAAAGGAGAGAGTGTGAGGGAAAAATGGAACTCAGTAAGTTCTTAGCAGCCCCTGAAACTACAGGTTTCAAAGAATATTAAGTATGGGAAAAATACTCACAGTTTTAAGGGTAGAAAAGCAGACAGGATAGAAAATTCTATATATTATAATACTGTATAACACCAATTTCATTCAAAAACATAACAGAAAATTCACCAAAATCTAAATACTACTAAAGTTTGGGTATGAGATATGTGATTTTTATCATTTAAAAAATAGTTTTCTGTAGCTTGCTTTAAAAAAAAATTGACCCTATATTACTTATCAAACCATACACAGTTAACTTATCTAACAATATATAAGAGAAAGAATAAAATCCAAGCCTGGCGGCTCTGAGCCAGGACTGCCACTGTCAGCTGAGTGGAAGCTGATCCTTTTCCCAGGTCATTACTGCTCCTGGGCCTCCTACCCTGAGCTGACCCTCCGCCTGCTGTGCTTTTACCAGGGATAGGAGTGGCCTTGCTGCAGACTCCAGGTACTCGACCACATCCTGTACCAGTCTTGAGCCATGACTCAGCTGATTGAGGTCAAAAGGGGGCTTCAGACAGCGGCTGAACTTCTCCCGTGCAGCAGTGAGGTTCCCAGCTTTGAGGCAGGCCATGCCCCAAGCATGCCACGCCCCACTGGTATCGAGCCCAGTCTTTGTGGAGACCTGGAGGAAAAATGGCTTCTTTTAGTAAGGGGTACCCTATATCAAGGCTTGAGAGTTCTTAAGACCTATTGTATCCCCTTATTGCCAACCACCTACCCCCAACCCCCTCAAACATGCCATTACATCCACATTGGCAAACTGGTCATGCCCTAGACACTTCCCCATGGCCAAGGACAACTGAGAGATGGCAATATCTGTTTGCAAGGCCAGGCAAAAGCAACTCATTACAGTGGGGTAGAAGTAAGCTTTGTCTTTGCCTTACCTCAACGCCCAGTTGGTAGTACTCAGCTTCCAAAAGCTGGTTCCTTAGCCTGGTTACTGCAGCCGGCTGCAAGATCTGATCCAGAGATGGCACGTGGCGATAGGCAGCAGAAACTAAAATATTCAGTACATCTACCTTGCTGATGTAGCTACAGGAATGAAAAGGGCAAGGCAATGAAGCTCCACAGAGTCTTACTAATAGTTGCTGCTTAAAGGTTTTCTATTTCATTTCCAATGTGAAATGTGATCATGAGAATCTAGAGGTACATAGATACTATGAGAGAAGACCCTGGAGTCAGACTCTCTGAATCCCAACTCCATCACTTAGCAGCTCTATGATCTTAGGCAAGTTAGTTAACAGTTCTCTGCTTCAAATTTACTCACCTGTAAAATGAATCCAGAAAGGAAATAACCCAAGTAGAAGGGGTTAGGATACTACCTGGAACTTTGTAGGCACTTGTTAAATGTTAGATATTAATACATGGAGTAGAGACACTCAGGTCTTCTATCTGAGGCAAAGCCTTTACATTGAATGTTGGGAGGCTCACAATCTATTTGTTTTTTGGCTCTTTTGAATCCTGCTTGCTTGGGAGAGAGCTTGTATCAATGGCCTGTACTCCTAGTCAGGTCAGAGGTCACATCACTACCATTTCCTACAGGTGCCTATGGGCAGGGGCATCCTGATCCATTTTAGTCTCCTGGACTTGACATCCTTGCCTTGGGCTAAGGATGGACTATCATGACAGCCTACAAGGACTGCCACCTATGATCTACTCCTGACGCCTGATGACTGCAAAAACCTTATAACAACAGAGAGCCCAGAGAGCTGGATCATTCTGTCTAGTGCTGCCTGAAACAGGCATACACTCGAAGTTCTTAAATCTTATAATTTTAGCAAAAACCCCTGTGTATCCTGACTTGTCCACTGATTTCTCTGAAAAAGAATTTAGTGCATCAGTGATTCTCAACTGAGGGATGGAGTAGAAGAGTACAGTATGTAAAAGCAAATTCAATATTATAAAGTATTGCACATTTGTTTTTTAACATTTATTTATTTATTTATTTAAATGTCTATCAGAGGGAAGTATGAGTTAAAAAGTAGAAAAATACTCTGTAAACTAGGGGTGCTAAACATACACGAGAGATGAATCCGTTCCCACCAGCAAAACCAGCACAAAGGCAGCCATTCTCCAGAGTGAGTACATTTGAATCCAGGGTGGGGGAGAAAGAATGTGTAATCTGAAACCACAGTTGAAGCCCAATGCACCTGGGGGTAGGTGAGAATGCTAGTGAAGCGAAGACTCTTTTAATTTCTGCTGCTCTCAGACTAAAGCGAATATTTCCTCCATCTGTACTAGTGAAGTATTGGACTTGATGTTAAATTTGTTCCCCCAACCCCAATCGTAGTGTCTTTTTCCTTAAATAAAACTTTATCTCATTTATATTACTGATAGTCAAGATATATTTAGGAATACTTTTACTTTTGCCTTACATATTACCTTTTGCTATATGGAGGTGTTTCTGTTCTTTTCCCCTCTTCTACATTTCTGGTAAATTGGTAGATTTTTGTTCTTTTTGTGGTTATTTTAAAAACTTTACTTAGCATATGCTATATCTATTCCTTCACTTTATTTTCAATTTTTATTTATTTATTATTTTTTTTAGGCGAGGCAACCCTTGGTTGACCTCACATATTGCAAAGCCCTTGTCCGCTTACAATCCCTTATTTTTTATTTTTTATGCCTACAGCACCTGGTCTTCCTAGGTAGTCTCCCATCCAAGTACTAACCAGGCTTGACCCTGCTTAGCTTCCGAGATCAGATGGGATCGGGCTTGTTCAGGGTGGTATGTCCGTAAACTATTTCTTCATTTTTAAACTTAAAAAATCTATTGTCTTTTGATATAAAAGAGTGACATTAACTCTTTTATACATCTTTTCACTTTCTGTCTGACTACCCTTTGTCGTCTCAACCTTCTGGTTTCTGTTAATAAAAAAAAATAAAACAAAACTAACATTTTTGGAGTACACTGGTTCAGTTCTTTACATGGATACTCTCATTTTATCCTAACAGCCCTATGAGATAAGTATTATTATTATTCTTGTATTATAGTGAGAAACTGAGGCCCAGAGTGGTTAACAGACTTGTCTAAGGTTACAGAGCTGGGAAGTAGTGAAGCTGAGATTCACTGCACTCAGCTATCTGGTGAGCTTGTCAGCAAGTACTCTGAGGAAGTGCTTGAGGTACTTACACTTCGAAGATTATGCTCTCAACTCCCATATTTGGCTGGGACCAAGTGCTGAGAACACACTATATGAGTCACGCATCTGGGTGGATATGCTGGGAACTGGGAGTTTTCATTGTTTAGTTAATGAAGGGATGTAGAGCAGATAGTGTGGGGGACCTGAGGCCTAATAATGCCTTTTCCACAAATACTACTTTATGACTCAGGTTCCTACCTGTGACACAGGGATATACCAATCCCCAATGTACTTTATAGACCTATTATCCAGAACCCCCCGAGGCCACAGTCTGAACTTGGTCAAGATTAGGGTAGAGTTTTAGTCAAGACTAAGCATTGGCCATTCAGGGAGGACACTTCTTTATGAGCCAGAAAATTCCACAGAGATTAAAAGTGCTCCCCTTAATTGATTTAATTACAGATTAATCAGAGTCTTTATTTTCTTTCTGATTGGGTGTAGCTGGAGAATACCCTGCTTTGAAGATCCACTCCGGGTAAGAGAGGGACACAGTCTGTCAAGGTGGAGTGAAGAAGAGCACTGTGATTTGGTAAAAGCATTGCATTAACATTAAACTGAGATGCATACATTTCAGTATGTCTTGTCAGAGAGGATGGTGAGGTGAAAACTTAGTAGGGTCAGAAAAAGAAGCTGGATAGAAATGACCGCCATTTACCTGTCACAAAGAGCCAGGTCCTGGCTCTGGCCGGTCTTGACAAACATCATCTTTGCACTGAAGAGCAGCTGCTTCATGATGTCTGTGAGCAGCCCTGCATCCACCTCTGGGTTGGTAAGGCCCTGGGACAGCCTGCAGCAGTGTTCGATCAGCTGGTGGCCACAGGTGATGCTGTCCCGGTGCAGATTCAGGATGGCAATGCACAAGGAAGCACTGGGTGCCTGGCCAGGGTGGAAGGAGAGAGAAACAGGAACCAAAACATTCTTCAAATGTAATTGGATGGCAGGAATTATTTTTCCTATTTCACGAAGCTTGAAAAACACTGGAGGAAGAAGCCAGAATCCCACAGCAAAGCAGAAGTGGAACTAAACAAGTTTCTGATGTTCTAAGTAGCACTGCCAAAGCTCTGGCTGTTAGGTTTTGTCCCCTTCCTAGGAAGAAGACAGCTGTTCATGTGTTACTTACTTCTTGGGAATGCATATATGTCCCTTCCTTTTTTCAGTCTATTGTCCTATTAACACAGGTCTTCCTTACTGGTGGCTTGGACTATGATAGTCACCTTGCTTGACTGACCACAACAAGTTTCTGCTTCAAGCCACTGGACACACTGCTGCTAAATCAATATTCCAAAAGTTTATTTCAAAACCTTCCATGGTCCTTGATGCCTACCAAGTACATATTCCTTACTGCAGAATTCAAGGCCCTAAGTATAAATAGCCCATTTCAAACCTACCATTTTCTATCTTCCTATGAATACCCTATCCCTCCAAGTTAAACCATTTCCAATTCCCTATCATGCCCTGTAATTTCTGACAGTGCCTTCGCTCAGATGTTTTAGTTTTGCACTTTTTGTCCTTCCCCTATCCTTGCTCTGCTCACAACCCCCAAATTTCTGCTTGTTAAAACTCTCACCTCTCTTCCAAGGCTCATCTTAAATGCTACCTTTTCACCAAGGCTTTCTGATCTCCTCTTGTGCATTTCCCAAGATGCTCCTGACTTTCTGCCTTACTGGTTTACTTGTCTTAGCTCCCACATCATTGCCCTGTAAGCAAGTGAAGGCCAGGCTGTGTTCACCTATCTCTGCATTTCCTGCCATACTACTACTACCATCAATAAAGAAACTCAAATGGCCATTAAATTTTATTGCTATTACCTGCTCGTAGTAAAATTCATTCCGCACCAGCTCATTTTCTTCCTCATTCAGGTCCAAAATCCATTCCACCGCAGGTGCTTTGGGGACTCTCACTACAGCCGAGTATGGTGGAGTTTCACTCTGGGAACTATCTGGTGCTGAGAAGAGAAATGCCATTTGTGTGTCAGTCACTGGCTTGCAATCCAGTCTAGCCCAGTCTAGTGAGCTGGCAAGAGCTGCAGGCAGATAACTGCCTGCTATCTGAGTGCCTTTTCTCTCTCCTTAGTCCTTTTGATTGCCTTTAGGAGACTTAATTAAAGCACCCTAAACTTTCCACCTCAGGGGAGACCTGAGATGAGTGTTATGGTATTTGTCATACAACCCTGAAAGATACATGTTTCTCAAATAAAGGGCTGAGCCATTGGCTACTCTAAAACTAACCTGCCAAACTATTAATATTGACTATCTAGGGAGAAGGAGGGAACATTGGAAGTAGGAAGATGGTGAAAGGGAACCTAGGCAGAAAAACTAAAAAGAAAGAAAGAAAGAACCTACTAAAAGTTAAAGACCAAATTTTTGGTTGCTGGCCTTCTCAACGCTAAAAGTTAATAGGTCAGTATGACAGATTAATGTGATGATAAACTAAGAAAAACAGCTTGATAGAAATGCCAACTATTTTTCTTGGCCAACAATTTGGACTGAGTTGCCATTAAGGGATATCAGTTGTAGCTGAAACTGAAGGAAAAGCCAACTTGAACATATAAACAGAGTCACAGAGAATGTGATTCAGCCTTACCTTCTGGCTGTGCTGGATTATCCTCTGGCACACTGGAAACAGAAAGAAAAAATGAAATGCCTAAATCTGTCCTCCTCCTCTTTGCTTTGAGCTTGATGTGTAACACTGACATTTACTGTTACCCAGGTGAGATATGAGAGAATTATTCAAAACTCTTTTCTCTCCTTCACTTGTCACAGACAATCACTCATCATTTCCTGTCTATTCCATCTTCTAAATATCCCTTTAAATGTTCCCATCTCTCTTTTCATCCTTGCCTCAGAGAAGGCCCTCATCATTTATGGCTGGAGCCTTTGCCAAAGTTTCCCAATTGGTCTCCTTGATTTTGTCAACCTATTCTGCACTTTGCAGCTATAGCAAGCTTTCAAAAATGCAAATCTGGTCACATTATGCTTCTGCTTAAAATTCTTTGGTAGCTCCTCAGGGTAAAAATATTCCATATATGCAGTTCAGCAGACAAAGCCCCTTGTGACCTGAGCTGGCTATCCCTTGAGACCATTTTCTGGTGCCTGTGACCTGTGGTCAACTGTAAAAGTCCTATCCACTCTGCCACTGGCTCTGGTCAACTTCAGTTGGCATCACCAAGCACTAAGTCCCAATGCCATAAGCCAGAGCCCAAGTCCTGAGTCCTAAGTCATGACCTGAGTCAACTCCAACTCATGTTGCCAAAGGGCAAGCTCCAAGCCTTTGTGCTATTGCCTAAATGCTCAGCTGCCAAGGTGCACCAGCCAGAACCTTAACCCATCACCTACCTATATACACTTTCTCAAATGACATACTTTCTCCTACCTTTGCCTTTGCAGTTGTTCCTCTCACTTTGGGCTATGCTCTGTTTTGGCTCATTATCCTACTAATTTCTCGTCTTCTAAGGCAGGGGTCCCCAAACCCGGGGCCATAGACTGGTACTGGGCCACACAATAGGAGGTGAGCGGCAGACAAGCAAGCAAAGCTTCATCTGTATTTGCAGCCTCTTCCCAGCACTAGCGTCACTGCCTCAGCTCCACCCGAGATCATCAGACATTAAATTCTCACAAGGAGTGTGTAACCTAGATCCTTCACATGCGCAGTTCACAATAGAGTTTGTGCTCCTTTAAGAATCTAATGTCTTGGACTATAGACTAGTGGTTACCAGAGGACTACAGACTAGTGGTTAGTAGTAGGGTAGGGGAAGAGGGGAAGGTAGATGGGGTAAATATATGGTAGCTGAAGAAAACTGGACTTTGGGTGGTAAACACATAGTAGAATATATAGATGTCATATGATAATGTACACCTGAAAATTATATAATTATATAATTGTATTAACCAATGTTACCCCAATAAACGTAAAAAAATAAAGAATCTAATGTCTGATGATCTGAGGTGGAGCTGAAGCAGTAATGTTAGTGCTGGGGAGTGGCTGAAAATACAGATTAACATTAGTAGAGACTGCACAGAGACCATAATAAATCAATTGCTTGCAGACTCATATAAAACCCTATCAGTAAATGGCAAAAGACAATTAAGCTGTATCTGGTGGCAGGCTTTACAGTGGCAAGTGAGTTGATGTACTTCAATTGTACAGTTGCATCTGGTGGCACTTGATTCTGCATTATGGTGAGTTGTATAATTATTTCATTATATATTACAAGGTAACAATAATAAAAATAAAGTGCACAATAAAGGTAATGGGCTTGGATCATCCCAAAGCCATTCTCTCTGCCCCAGTCTATGGAAAAACTGTCTTCCACGAAACCAGCCCTAGGTGCCAAAAAGGTTGGGGACTGCTGCTCTAAGGCTCAGACCAGGTGCCACATCTCTAGGAACCCCTCCTGAGCACTGTACTTATTCAGTGACTCAGTGGTCTGCTTGTAGGCTGTTCCTCCACTAAAATAGGGGCTCCTTGAGAGCAAAGTAATTGTTGCTGAGTGATTGCTGAATGAAAGAATCCCCATCAATACTAACTGCTCATTTTAAATCTCAGTGGTATAGTGGTTGGATAATTCCCCTGTCCTCACTCTGAGAGGGTCATAGAAACGGTAGTATAAGCATGCATGTCTTCCTTCCTATAAGATCAGTAATTATCATGGTAAATAATGACAAAAAATGTTAATTTTCAAACAAACAGGGGATTGCTTCGTGAATTATATAAATGACTAACCACTATACTGTATACTTGAAACTAATATAATATTGAATGTCAACTCTAACTAAAAAAAAATTTTTTTAAATAGAAGAAAACAAAAACACGTATAAGCTATTATACTGTTGAGCAGAATGAAAAATCTATTTAAGCCTGTAAGGAAAACACAAAGAATGCAAAGTAATTTTGCTTTTGGATAGTTGCTTTGGCTTATGTGCTCTAGGAGACTTAGTTTCACTCTCCTTTGCTCCTAGAAGCAGTGGAAAAAACTGAGCAATACTGAGTCACCACATACAGTCCTGATCTGTCTTGCCAGATTTATGAGCAGTTTCTGAAACCTGTCATCAGGTGAACTGTGTAGGAAAGCAAAGGATTAGTGAAAAGGCTCCTTTAATCATAAATAACAAGCTAGGATGACTAGCTAAATTAAATATGATGAAAGTGATATCCAAACATTCAGCAGTTATAAACATGTCCCTTTGAGTGCAGTTGAGACTACTAGAGTAAGAGTGGCTGAAAAACAGGTGAAGATGTTGGTGAACTAAGATCAGTGACATCAGTCAGGGGCTGGACTGAAGAACCAAGTGTCCTAATCTCAGACAGATCATATGAGCCTTGAACGTGGCTTGCTCTCACCCCTACCTTTTTCTTAGAAGTTTCTCTGAACAAGGTCAAACATTTCACTGTAGAGTTAATGGCATTTCAGTGTGAGTGTTGTTAAAACTTTTTGTGATTGTTCCAGATTGCAATGACACGCCTAGGAGTATAAGGACCTGGGGGAGGGTGCACTGGTCAATAACGTAGCAGCCCTGTAGCAGGACACTCACTCTTTGTTGTAGTAACTATAGCACTGGTCACACACGCGAGTAGGGTTCTCTCTGCAGCCTTCTACAATCATTTTCTTAGTGGAGCAGGAACTGCATACTAGCCGGCCACAGCGGCGACAATGATGACGTCTGTTAAACTGAAGAGAGGCACAGGGAAGAGAAGGAAGGGGGAGGAAAGAAGGTGACATTGTGGGAACTGAGAGTATAACTGTAAACTTATTTATCCTTGGTCTCAGCCTCTGTGACTTTTCAGAACACCAGATGCTTGGGCCTCTATTGAGAAAGAACACTCAGCTGATGAGCAAAGGTGTCCATATCCCAGGCAGTTTTGCAATAGCCCCTGATAAGTTCTACCTATCTGTGGAGGAACATGTGAAGACACAGCAAGAAAACTGTGGAAGAAGTAACTTTCTCAGCAAAAGCAGAATAGATTTTTACATGGTATTGATGACGAAGAAAAAGTGTTTTTTCAAAATATTTCACGAGTACTGCCTCATTTCATTATAAGATGTTGATAGACATATTATACCTCTTTTATAGATGATGAGGGAACAGACACAGAGCAATTATATCACCATTTTCATAAGCACTGAGCTAATATACCAGTCAGGTACTGTGTTAAGTTTGATAACATCTGTATCGTAGTTAGTCCTTACAGTTCCGTGAGCCAAAGTAACATATCATCCTTAGTTTACAAGTGAACATCTGAGACAGAAAAAGTTAACAGTGACATTGCTAATAAGTGGCAGAGCTGGGATTAGAACCCAGGTCCTCTGTCTCCAGAGCCAGCACAGGTAACCACTACCAGGTTACCTGTCTCACTGTGAAAGACAGGGGAGCTAGGAACAAGATCTCCTGATGGTTTGGTGACTCTTCCTAATATACCAGTCTGCCTCTTTTTTGTTTTTTCATAAGAATGGCAAAGATTTTAGAATTTAAGGCTACTGAATGCATTACTACTTGTCTGAATCCAGAAAATACACTTTGGTTAGGTTAAAGATAAACCCAAAGATTCAGATTTGGTAGTTCTTCTGAAAATATCAATAGTCTCTTGAGGACATGAGGTGACTATAAATTCAGGCTCTTGAACTAGAGATTTCTTTTCATTTCTCCTGCAGATAAAGTTGGAGACTGACACTGCTTACCATGGTGAAGTGCTCCCTGCGGCATACCATGCAGACGCTCTCACTCTCATCTGGTACCCACTGGTGCCTGGCAGGGGGTGTTGCTGGGGGCACAAACTCCAGTGGAGGTTGATTCTGTGGGACACTTCTCTCTCTTGGACTGGGGGAATGTACAATGGAAACACCTGGGAGTCAGAGCCAGAAGTCAGAGTAAAAGGTGATCAATAGTTCAGCTCATAAATGAAGAATGAATGACAGAATTAGAATTCCACCATTTTACAAACCACTACTGAAGTAATAGGTCCAGTTAATTAATGGTTGACTGCATCAGAAAAAGAGAGATAACTGGGCATTGGCATCTTCTGATGGGAGGTGCACAACCACCTATTAAATATACTTACCAAAAAATATTAAGCTTGAATCAAATCAAACTTCTAGATATATCTACCAGTGTACCAGAAATACAGGGGACTGAGCCCCAGATTGCCACAGGGCAGCAATCGGCAAAATTCAGCATGTGGGACACTCTACAGAACAAATAACCTAGTTTACTCCGCAAATAAGAAAGAGGTAGGAAACAAACTGATTAAGAGATGAGATTTTAGCCAAATGCCATGTATGGACATTATTTAGATCTTGAGTCTGAAGCAATATTCTGCATTCTTATTTCAGCTCTCATACAGAGATAACCAGAGGATGGAGATGGTAAGGGACAGTGTGGTGTACTGCACGAAGCTCCTGCTCTGGGGCTAGTTGGACACAGTTTGAATCCCAGCTCTTGTTAATAATAGTGGGATGGCTGCAGGCAAGTCATTTAACGCTTCTGAACCTCTTTATCGCTTTCGTAAAATGATTGTTTTCAATTTGAGATTATAATCTATGTGAATATCTCTATCTATCTATCTATCTATCTATCTATCTATCTATCTATCTATCTACCTACCTACCTACCTACCTACCTACCTACCTACCTACCTACCTACCTACTTACATGTACATACCTTCCCTAGGAGCAATGGTTCAGTATTTAATTCAGCATTTGTGGTGACTTTATGGATATACTACTACCGTGAATGAGAATCAATCATGTGTTGAATTTTCTGGGGCATACAAAGTTAAACAAACCAAGAAAAACAGTAGAAATGTTGTAATGGGAAAGGGGCAAAAGAATCAGAAAGTCATAATAAAGCAAAATTGAACTAAAAAATGGGTAACTCTCAGAACTTGTTCTTACCAGGAGCAGCAGCAGAAGGGAACTCTGCTGATGGTGATCTAGACAAGGTCTCGAGGTCTGAAGTCTGACTGACAATTTCCTGGAGGTGAATCACAGAACCTGGAGAAAGAAAATGCTGTCAGAATATCATTCTACCATAGGCATCTTTACTCACGGTGCTAGGCATCTAGTTCAAAACCTTGTTGGTTTCACTGGTTGTCATTCCATGATTCTACTAGGTATAAAAAGAATGGTAGAGGTACTTCTAAGCCAACAGTGTATATGCTTCTTAAAGTCCTCAGAAAACAAAGTATGTTTATAAAGGCACATGAGATAATAAAGTAGATGCCAGGATTTTACAAAATAAATCTAAAGATGACCAGAGGTAAGTGGAAGATGATGCCTGTGGAGAATAGGGAGCAGGAAAAAGGAGCTGGCTGGGAACACCAGTCATTTCATTTCATTTTCGTCATTCTCAAGGATTCTGAGTCGGTTCACAAACCTTTGATATCTGATGTGACCCTGAGAATAAAGCATATCCTCAATACAAAGTGATGGCACTTAAAAATCCACTGTACCAAGGCCACACAAATACCACTTCCAGGACGTTTGTTTCCCAAACTTTTGTTATTAAGCGTGTGGTGGTTACCTACCACCCTTTAATTCTGGTTAGCTTGCTATTTCCTCTAAGACCAAGATCTCTCCTGTTCTCTTTCACTCCCCATCAATTCAAAATAAGAGAAATGAAAACTAAGGATACAGTGTGGTACTTGTTCCCCCATGTAACACCCCCGTCTAGGGCGTTGGCAGTTACCTGATCGTTTCTCCCTCAATGGGTACGGGAAGTCGAGTGCTTTCCCCGCATATCTGGAAAGCAGTGAGTCGACCTCACCCATGGTGAAGATGATCTCCTGCCCGGCCAACAGCTGGTGCAGAGTCTGCACAGCCACAGTGGCCCAATCCACTTTCATGTTCATGAGCAGCTGCTCCAGCATGAGCAGGGGGTTAGAGGACAAGTGGGAATAGTTGGCCCGGTGCTGCTCAGGCAGGGTCAGCAGGACCTGTTTGGCGGGTAGATCCACAGAGTAAAGAAAATAGTACATCAACTTCAGAAGAAAGCCAAGATTCTTACTGGGAAGGGGGAGGGTGTCAGGGACCAAAAGGCACATGCTTTACTACTGAAACTGGCTAGTAGTCTTTTTGGAAGCAAGGCTGGACTCCTATCTAAATCCTCCAGCAATCAAGAAGTATACTCCAAGTACCTTCACATAGATGAGGAGTCAGGAGACTTTTACTGTAAAGGATCAGATAGTAAATATTTTAGGCTTTATGGGCTATAAAGTCTCTGTTGCAGCTACTTAACTCTGACAATGTACTGCAAAAGCAGCATAGATAACATAAATGAATGCACACATTTGTGTTCCAATCTTGATTTCAAAAGCAGGCAGAGGACTGGATATGGCCTACAGGTGGTAGGCTGCCGACTCCTGGCCTATACCTTCAAGGCACAGTTGAGTTCTGCCTGACTCTCAAAGTCACCATTCTGTCCATTTGAGGCTTTATTAGAATGAGCAATATAAGGTGATGATGTCAGTGGACTGCCTAAACCTGGAACCTCCAGTGTCTTACAGGTAAAAGATGACTCTAAACTCTTTCTAGAAGTTATTATCACTAGGCTCGAAATATGTTCATTGGCTCTGCTCACTGCCAGTTTTTAAGGAGTTCCCCATTTAGATATTGTGCATCTAAAAGCAAAAAAAAAACAAAACAAAAAAACAAGGTTTATCTCTTTTAGCGACATTTTACGTATTTGAACTCTTAGCAAGTGGGCTCTCCCAGCACTCGTTCTATTTCTGGGGCAGTGTATCTGACTGCTAATCAGAATTATTAGAAGACTGTCAGAGGGCCCTATCTCTCCCCAAACCTTCCTTCACTGGATTACTTTTTCTAGTATATATTTTTTTCTATTACTGTCTCTAAGGGTACATCAGAATCCCTTTGAAAGACAGCCAGGCCCTGTCCCTATAGATTCAGTTTTAATTGATCTGGAATAGAGGTCAACTTCTGGTATTTTGAAAAGTACAGATGATTCGAATATACACTCAGAACTGAGAAGCACTGATATAGTAGATGCAAGGGAAAGCATAAAGAGAACTTAAGAGGACCAGGTAAAATTTATTTTGGAGGCAGGGCAAAATGAGAAAAACAAGTCCTAAGGGACTCACCTAGGATGTGGTGGGCTACTAGGGTAAAAATTTCATGTGGCACAGGCCAAGGATGGCAGGTGGTTGAAAGAAGAGACATTGACAGGGCAAGTTCTGAAGTGGGAGCTGGAAGCAGTATCTCTTTCAGGCGTGCTTTCCCGACACTCGCTTTACCCACTTACCTTGGATCCCATGTACAGAGCCTGGATTTCACGGTGTCGGACAGCAGTCAGTTTTCCATAAAAGTGAGTGGTGAGGTAGTTGGCCAAGAAGTGAGAAGTGGCCAAGCTAGGGTGCTGGTCAAGGGATTGCTCTGTGACCTCAAGGCACATGGAGGGGTCAGGAATTCTTTGCAGGAGCTGTTGCAGAAGAAGGGTAGAAGGGTAGAAGAGAAAAGCGAGGCCTGTAGAGGAACTCTTAGTCCAGCCTTATTTTATTTGAGAGTGAAACATGTATTCACTTTGAACTAACACCTTCTCTGCACTCATTTTTTTCAGCACCCTCATAGCTTCACAAATGATGGTTTTGACAGGACCAGAGTTCAGTAGAATCCTGGACCTAGCTGCCCCTCTGGCACCTAATGAAGGGCTAGGCCTCTTCTGCTCAACATGACTGTAACTGGCTCCTGAAGGACACAAAGAGGAAGGTCTGAGATTGCGGATATTTGCATGGGATTAAGCAAGAACAAAGCCATTTGATTTGACTAACCTTCCTGTCCCTCCCCAAAAGAAAAATGAGAAGAATTGCAAAGCTTACTTGCAGAGCCTTTTCATGATCTCCTCTTTCTAAAAGGTGAAGAAGATGTTTTTGATGTAGGCCGATTAAATGTTCTCTTGAAATGGGGTACAGGCCGCCCCACTCCTCACACAGTCCATACTCCTGGAAGGAAACACAAACACCCTCAGTCCCTTTAAATGACTTGTCTTATCACTCATCCAGCTTTTGCCTGATTTTTCTCAGCAGTCTTGAGTCTACTACAGCCTGAAGAAAGTTTGGGAAGTGCTGATGGGAACTTCACTAAAGTAGGATCATAAACTCAAAGGAATTGAGTGACAAGGTAAATTATAAAAATGATCAAAGCAGGCTGACTATTAATGATATGATTTTCCTCTTAGCTCTACTATAAAAAAGAAAAGCAGATGACATACAGCGACTGAACCTTGTTATCAGCCCTAGGAGATGTGAAGGAAGCGGGGAAGATTGAGAGGACTGTCCAAAGGAGGCAGAGCCTGCTCAGCTTTGACTGTGGCCATATGAATGTGCACGTCAAGTGTTACCGGACTTAAAACTTAAAAGTTTTTTTAATTAAAAAATTTCCCTATTTTAAAATGTTGGCAATGAAATCAATGTAAAAAATAAAAATTCTGCAGGCCGATACTGCCTGGGCCAAACAAACATGTTGGGGGTTGGATTCTACCTATGCTCCTCTTTGTTACTCCCTCACCCCCAATTTGTGAACTGTGAATTAAAGCTTCAGAGAACAGAGTCCCCAGGGTTTTGTCCAAGTATTCTAATAGGGTGGCATCCGGAATGCCCTCCCCACAACTCTGCCTGGTGCTGCATTCTTCAGGATGCTTCCTTGTTTCTCAGGCTACATTAGGTGCCCTGACAGTGCTCCTACCATAATCTGGGCTTATTTCTGTCACTTGATATATAATAATCACCTAGGGATACAAATCACATAACCCCTCCTTCCCAAAATGTGAGCTGCTCAAAGGCAAGGACTAAGCTTAATTATCTTTGTTCCACCACCATCTAGCACTATCTAGTGTCTAGCAAATAACAGGCATTTGAGAAATGTTTCCTGGATGACTGAACATTGAATGAGCATATCTACATTTTGAACTACGGTACATCAGCTCCTTAAAAGGCAGACAATATTCTATGTAGCACTTAAATGTTCAATGAACACATGAAAAGATATTCAAGGTTATTACTTATCATGGAAATAAAATTAAAAAGAGATATCGTCCTATTGGCAAAAAGTGAAAAGCTGGGTAAGAATATGCAGTAATAGGAACTGTGAGTGGGAGTATAGCTGGGGAAATGGCTTTGAAGAACAACTGGTAACATGTTAGTAAAGATGAGATGCTCACGTCTGACACACAGCAATTCCACTGCTAGATATATATTCTGGGTCTAGTGTATACAGTGTAGAAAATCTCCTGTATATATAAACACAAGGATGATAGTACAAATGCATTAACTGTTATTATTCTCTATAGTTCTATGTATAGTGGTAAATTTCACACAAACATGTGTACATGTGCACACACACACACAGAGAAAAAAGAATGTGATATAGTTAACAAAAAAATGCAGACATTGATATGCGAAAAGGGGTCTACGCAACCAGCTAAAGAGTTGCAACTCTGAAAAGAGGAGGAAGGAGAATACCCCCACAGGAAAATGGTACCTTTGCTTCTAGAATCATATTCATGACAGTTGATGGGTCCTCCACACAACAGCTCCTCAGGGTCTGCCAGTCACACCACACTGGGGTAGGCTGCAAACCTAGAATCTAATGAGAAGCAGGAAAAGCTATCAAACCACAATGCAGCTTCTGCCTCCATGAACAGGTCACTGGAGTTTCCAGGAATGGCCCATCTCTAGGTCTCCGTCCCCAAAGAACTTGTCAGGAGAGAGGAAGAATTAGAATAAAATGAGGCAAAGATTGTTTGGAGAGGTGAGTGAACCTACTGGGGAAGCATAATCAGGGAGCAAAGGCTGAGCGGGGAGGCCACAACTGGGGCCTTTCACTTCTGAGGACAATTCTGAGGCTTTTCTGCTTCACAACTTGTTCAGTCTTCTGGGGTCATTTGTCCCATGCTCCTTCCATCTCAAAACTATCCAAGATATTTTGGCTTGAATGTTCGATAAGATCACTTTTCATGCAGCATTTAGCTCTGAAGGAAAAGCAATGAGCAAGAGCGGAAAGAAAATCTTTTTGCCTGCCATTTTCACCTGCCTTTTCCTGGTGCAGCTCTGGACTCTGTTCAGTTCCAAGTTCACATGGAAAATTAGCACATATTTTATACTTGTTATGTAGCTATACTACCCAAACCTGTCTCCTCGGATCTCTTATCTTGAATATAACACGTATCCCGCAAAAATCTTACACTTTTGAAACTCACTTTATGCATCCTTTAAAAATGGCTCTTGAAGTTTAGCTGAAAAATAAAACAATCTTTGAAAAAGATATCATAGGGATTAAGCGCTATTAAAAACTATTGAACAATAACAACAAAAAGATATAATACACATAAAACATACACGAAGCTCAAATATATATGTGAAAAGGCTTTGTGGAGTATGAAACATTATTCAATGTTAATTTTTTAATTCTTGTTTGATGCATATATATTTATAATGATAGGAGTAAATAAAACAGGGTCCACATAGGAGGCTTTCTTACTGTTCATCTAAGAACAGAAGTCAGATGCAGAGTAAAAGCCAGGCCTAGATTTTCTGTTTCTTAAAATCTACCATCACATCAGAATAGACTAGAGTTGGCAGCAGTTCCCTTTCTTTCCTTTCTATTGATGCCAGAGCCCATACCTTCTGATACACCTGCAGCTCCGCCAGCTTTCTCTGTAGCTCATACTTGAGTCCATCTTGGACAGCTGTATCTGAAATGCAGTAGGCCAGGATCTCCAAGCATGACTCCAGGGGCCACCTGTCCACAAACTGTAGGGTTAGCCGACTTCTTAGAGAGGAATCCTTCACAGGAAACAGGAACTGCCAACCTTCTTTGTCTAAAAGACAAAAAGATGCTCAGAGGCAGCAAGCCTGGCATTAGAATAGCTCAAGAGTCCAGGTTACTTCTTAAGAGAAGGGCTTTGTTCAATTTCATAAAACAGGTGCTTAGGATTCATTTGATCTTAAGTAGTTTTTATACTTAGAACCACTATATGACAAGGATAAATGCTATACTCCTATGTTTCTCTTCATGAAAACTTAATGAGACTTTCTGATGAGACAGAAGGATAGGAGGAGAATGGAAAGAGATGGAAAGGGAGAAGGAAGAAAGAATAGACAGAACAGATGAAGCTCTCCATGTTCTGGCATGCTGCACATTTCAGACTTGTCAGTGGAACTTGTAGCTTTTCCTGCAATTTCCACTCTGTGTCATACATAATTACTTCAAAGTTATTTCAGGTAAACTAGTTTCACTCCCTTGACATCCTCTGTCATTATTACTCAGTAGATCACTCTCTCCCACACCCATATCACAGCTAAAAAACATATTCCAAGCTGATAAGACTGCATAGTCAGTCAGTCAGTGGATTTCTTCCCCTGAAGGACAGATTTTCTCCTTTTCAAAGGGAAAGTCAGGCCTCTTGCCAGAAGCCGGTCTTTACGGCATATCTAACTCTGCTCCCCCTAGTGGAGTGTTGTAGGTCATTGGCTCTCAACTTTGGTTAAAATCAAAATCTCCTGGGAGATTTCAAAGTAGGGGCTTTCAGACATGCCCATGATCTGTTTTTATAAGTTTTATTAGAATACAGTCACACTCATTTGTTTATGTATCATGTATGGCCGCTTTCATGCTGTAATGGCAGAGCTGAGGAGCTGCAACTGAGGTTGTATGGCCTTCAAAGCCCTTTACAGAAAAAATTCATTGACCCTTGCTTTAAAGTAAACATTTGCCTGACCCTCATCCTGGGCTTCTGGGGGTAGAGTTCGGATATTTGTAGTTTACAGAATTTTCTAATATGTAGGGTTGAGAATATTGGTTATGAGTATGTGTTCTAATATGCAGGGTTGAGAATATTGGTTATGAGTATGTGTTCTAAAGTTAGACTTGGGTTCTAAGCTCTGCTCCAGTTTTTTACCCTCTGAGCCTCGGTTTCCACTCATATCACAAGATTATGGTGGCACCTTTCTCTAGAGTTATTGTGAGGATCAAAGGTGGTGATACACTCAGTGAATGCTAAATAATATTACCACTAGTAAAGGAGGGAGGCCTAGCTTTCTGCTCACCACATGCCGCAGCACAGCTCAGGACTGCATCCTGTATATTGCTCAAGTCATCCACGTCTCGCCCGTACACTTCAGTGAGCTGAAGGGCCCGGGGCCAATCTTTGGCCACCAGGGCTTCCTTGAAGGCCTCAGTGAGCACATCCAAGGCAATGGGAGAATGCAGGCCCAGAAGGACAGTAGAGAGACTGGCCTGGCCACAAAGACTTGCTGCTAAACTCGGTCCCTGCTTAGAGGACCCTCGAAGGGGCTCCCAGGCAGCCAGGAGGGAGGCCTCAAGCATAGGGAACTGTTCCAGGAGGCGCTCACACTCCCGGGCTACCTGTTCTGCAGTCAGAGGCGCCTCTCTGCGGCCACGAAACTCTTTCCATGACAAGCTGGGCTTGGTGACCTTTGATCCCCGGGAAGCCCCCAGACAGACCACTGTAGCCAGCAACTTTGAGCGGGACTTTAGGAAGGCCAAGGCAGAGGAGGTGAGGGCTGGGAGTGACGAATCCCTTGGGGAGGAGCGGGGCTTTCTCTCTGATGTGGTGTTCTCAGTTGGCTTTGGGGAGCTCTGCATAGGAAGTGGGAGGTCCTCCAGGCAGTGAGAGGTGTGCTGCTGGGCCAGGATGTCCAGGTGAGTCAGAAGAGATGATGTCTGCTGGCTTTGCAGGGAAGAGCAAAGGACAAGGGGCTCACAGCAGCAGTTGACGATGACCTGTGGCACACTCAGGCTGAGGCCCTCTTGGGCCAGAAGGGCTGCTAGCCTGGAGAGAAGAGCAGCAGAGGGCATGCTAAGCCTGAGTGCTTAGGCTCTATTACCTAATCTCAGAATTTCTTTGTGTTTACACAAGCAAATGTAAATGAAGGCTCTTTAACTACCCCTCTCCCCCGATCTTTTCTAAACACAAAAGGTAGCCTATTAGACATACTGCTCTGCCCTTTACTTTTTTACTTTGTAAGGTATCATCAGGGAGATCTGTTCAGACCCCTTTGTAGAGAGGTCTCTCATTTCTTTTTACAGCTACATAGTATTCCATTATGGGGACGAACAATAATTCAACTAGCCCCCTGTTAGTGGACAATGGATTTTTCTTATCTGTTGCTATTACATATGAGACTATAATAAAATGACTTTGTACATACATTATTTTCCATACATATAACAAAGCTGCAAGATAAATTCCCTAACGTGGATTGCTAGGTCAAAGGGTATGTAAACTTGTAATTTTAGTAGATATGAATAAACTGCCTTCCCACACCAATTTATATCCCCCTGGAAAAATATGAGAATTCTTGTCTTCCTAGCCAACTAAAGTATTATCAAATTTTTTATTTTCATGTACTTATAAGTGAAGATTAACCTCTTAATTTTATACTTACAATGTAAATGTTAGAGGTGACAAGAGAGAAAGAGGCACGCTGAATTTGGATGTAGCTATATAAGATTAATTGCAAATCAAGGTAAAAGTCTGAATAAAATCCCACTCTCTGTACTGAACCCAAGCACAGCCCCAAAGAGCCTTTGGTTTCCTCGATGAAACAATTAGAAAGGCCCATGCTTGATTCTCCCAGGTAGGCTCCTACCTGTCTGGGGGAACTTGTCGGTCAAGCAGGAGGTGTGACACCAGCTGGGAAGAGCTCTGTTGCAACAGAACAAAGGGATTTCCTACCTTGACCTCCACGTGATCTGCAAAGGTAAAGAAAGTGACCTTTGTACCACTGACTGCAACGGTTCAGGGCCCTATTTTCTAGAACCAATAAAAAAGGACAGTGTCGAAATGAAGATTACATTGTGAGCCCTTCTGCTGATATTTTCTAGGTAAAGGGTATTCTCAACATGACCCTGACCAAAAGCTTCTCTATACCTTACTTCTGCTCTAAAGACTTCTAACCACAGACTAACTTCAGTGGGCAGGTCTAGCCACAAACAGCTTATTCTGCTCCTCCAACACTACTGAAGTGCATTTAATACTTGCTCTGTGGACTCAAGTAAGAGTCTGGCACTCATATCAGAGACCTGATTCTTCTGCTGGGTCCTCAAATCCACAATGGACTGAAGGTCTGAGAGAAGTATTTTTGAGTCATTAATGCCATCAAAGTTTATTGAGTACTCCTATGTGCTGTACAACTGTAATAGGTATTGATTGGGGAGACAAAGACGAATAAATCACAGAAGAATAAGAGAGGACTTTATGAATCTAGTTTCCTTGGCGTTTGCTGTGCCCAGAACCCCTAAACTGAGTACCTTCCTCTTCCTTGTCCTAAACACTTGCAAACCAGTCATGATTCTATTTCCTCTTTCTTGCTACTTACCAGGCTCAGAGTGCAAACTCTGAAGAAGAACTGCAGCCAGGGTGCTGCAGTAACTGAAGAAGGTGCCCATGTAGTCAGTCTGCCTGCTGCCTGCCGGGGTCTGTTTGCCCAGGTTCTTCTGGAGAAGCTGAGTCTGGATGTGCACAGGGTGGGCCTCTGCCTCCGGAGCTTTCTGGGCCACCTGCTCCACCAGGGAGGACAGTGGCGTACTCCTGGGCTCTGAGAAGAGTAATGGCAGGAGAAGGGACGCAGGCTTTAGTCTGTGCATCCAGCTCTGCATCAATTTCCAACACAATTATGTGAACGGTACCTCTCTATACTGCATGGGGCATCCTATAGCTTGGGTGCTACGTTCACAAGGTAGCTATAAAATTCTAAGTTGGTCACCTGAACAAGTGATTCTTAGCCAAGAAGAGCTTTGAATCTGGAGAAATTGGGGTGGATAGTTCTGTTTTTACCTCAGTGTCTCTGAGGTTGGAATGGCTTTATGAGGAGCATAGCAATCTTTTGGAGAAGGGTTCATTAGTATATACTGAGTACCTTTGGGGTATATATCTCATTAGGAATAAGAAAAATGTATCAGCTATGGAGTGTCAGCCATCCCTTCACTTGAGAGGCAGGCGAACAAGTGGAGTTAGTCAGGCACCCGCTAACTAGGGGACTGGTAGGGGCCACCACCGGAGTTCTAAGTCTCTGCTCCAAAGTGTTTCTTCATTCTCAGCTGTTTCCTCTCCCCAGTTCAGGCCTTATCTGCTCCCACGCACTCGGGCCTGTACCTGGCAGTTCTAGCGCCTCTCTCAGTGACTGAAGGATCTGATCCAGCTGCTGGGAAAGGGTGGCATGGCTGGCAGCACAGTCCTCAGTGAGGCTGGGCCAGCACATCTGAAGCAGCTCAGCAATGCTGCACCGTGGAGGCCCTCCCCCTTTTTCTTCTACACTCTCTGTGGAAAGCAAATGAGGAAGGAAAGGTAAAGTGTGATGCCGACCTAATGATCTGAGTCCAGGAAAAAAAAATGGAGAAAAGCAACTCACCTGATTTAGTCTGTCCAGCTGACGTAAGTGAATAATTGAGAATCTTACTGATTTGCTGAAGAACAACTGGGAAACCTCGAATGCCATCAGCATTGAGGAATACATGGTCTAGCCGTCGACCTGAGAACAGATGAAGCAAGAAAGAATTCAGAAAACAGTAAAGACTTTCAGAGATTGGTACTCAGACCTGTATTTACTTGGAACATTTTATATTCTCCAATATTAAGGAAGAAACATATGCACGGCGATTCTGGGTGACAACCAGCATACCTGGCTTTTCTATGTATGTAGTTTCAGGGCTACCTCTGGCAAGATGCCTCAGCAGCAGGCCGAGGTCCAGCACTCCTAAAGAATTACTGTCCCAAGCCAATTAGGCACTTCTTGTGGATTTGCCTTGGGAAGTGCCCTCAGCTAAGGACTTGAGCTGGGCTCTTATCTGTCTTCTCTAACTGTTTTAAAGGATCTTGACACCCTGACTAGACTCTAAACAACTTTATGGACAGAGAGTATTTATTATATGGACCCCATATACTTGGGATTATCTGGAAACACAGTAGGTACTACGTTAATTGCTAACTGACTGACATGAAACTGTTTTAGCTACAAACAGCTTGAATAGTATCTCCTTTCATTTTAGAATATAAGTACTAGATGAGGAGGGGAATTGTTTGATAAAAATAGCATTGTTTATGATACAGTACACTTTCTTAGAAGGACTATATGAATATTAAAGGACATTGTAACCAACAGCTCAGATGTGACTTGGAGAGGTGTGCAGAAAAGAGGCAACACGGCAGGCCTGAGATTGCTATCCTTAGGCCTGCTTGCAAGGTGGGCCATTTAACCCGGCTGTTAAACAGTTTCTTACATGATACAAAGCTTTCCCTGAATGATAGAAATGGCTCTGTGCCTACACTATGCACGATGTGGTTTATGCTGAACACCTGCTTTCCTTCCAAGAGTCTGGAATATTGGTATATAATGGGCAGAGGGTACCTTTGTCACTAGCCTCCAATAAAAATCTTGGGTATTGGGTCCCTAATGAGCTCCTGTAGAAAACACTTCACACCTGTTACAACTCATTGCCAGAGGAATTAAGCCCATCCTGTGTGACTCCACAGGGAGAGGACTCTTAGAAGCTTTTTCCAGACTGTCACATGAGCCTCTCCCTCTGCTGATTTTACTTACATTCTTTTGCTGAAATAAATCTTAGCCACGAGTATGACTACATTCACTACAGTCCTGTGAGTTCTCTAGTGAATCACTTAACCTAAGGGTGGCTATTCATCTTATGACCTGTCCACCATTCCTCCTTCCACATTACTGAGAGAGAACATGCTCCTTTCTCCCTCACTGGTCAGTCCTTCCAGTGTTTGGTGTGTGCATCAAGGATGCATGAGTAGAACTTTGCCTAATTCCGTCTTCACATTCTTTTACCTTCATTCCTCCAAGAATTTCACCTTCATATTTTAAGATATTTTGAGGTACAATACACCCCTCTAACTGCAATCCACCAAGTTTTCCTTTATATATGGTTTACAAACCCCAAACTGTCCCAAGTTATAGGTTAAAGTTCACTCAGGAGGCGGAATGCAGTCTAAAGACACAAATTCCATCCATACCATTTTTGAACACATATCCATTCCTTGAATTTATCCATAAATCAGAAAAAGTTCCCCAAATGACTGCAGACTGTTATGCCTATTAAGAAGATGAGACTCTCAAGAGACTATTTATGCCATCAAATTGGACATGAGGAAATTAACTAATAATCCTTTTTCCCTGTCCCACCTTCCCCAATCAGTACTTTCTTCTTGCACAATTTATCAAATATCTCAGAAACGCATTTGAGAAGGAATAAAGCTAAAAAAGTACACTCACCCCGGCTCTCCAGGCTACTGTTCAGACGTCGTTCAGCTGTTTCCAAGAGCTGCTTGCAGGTTTTCCAGAGCTGGCACTGAGAGCAAGCTAGGTCAAACGCAGCCATGGCAGGGGAACTAAGGTCTTCTAGAACCTCTCTCAGGGGATCAGTGGGCTCCACCAGGGTACTGCTTATCCAAAAGTCCTCCTGCAGCGTGGGGATGGGGTCTCCAGAAGGGCTGAGCAGCTTGTCGGTCACATCAGAGATGGAGTAAAATACCATCCCTGGACACCCACCAGTGGAGTGAAAAGCAAAAGGTTAAAATGATTCTAACTACCAGTTTAACTCTGAAAAGTAGTTCTCTAAAACATGTTTGAGGTCCTTCTGCACAGGATATCTATCTTCTATGCATGTTAGTACCATCATTACAATCCATTCTTATGGTATCAAAACAATGGCATGGATAGGAAGACCAAAAGAAACTCAAAATAACTGAGATGAATGAGGGCTTCTTCTAAATGGGATCTAAAAGTAGGTTGAGAAAGAATAAGTGGATCTATATGTGCTAATCAGAAAAGATCGCTTAAATATATTACTAAAAAAGCAAGATAGAAATAGTACTTGTTGTAAGAGCCCATTTAGATTTAAAAAAAAAGATGTGCATATACTTTTTTGGATAGCTATAGAAAATAGCTGGGAAAATATAGAAGGAACAATGTGTGATGGTATTTGATACATATAACCTAGACCAATAACATAATGTGAAAATGTGGGACAAGATTCTACTTTCAAGAAAAATGAGATAAGCTTTTTTGCAGTGCAGCCAAGGTTGAAAATTGAGACCTGTGAATTGCAGGCCATATGTATTATACACAACTTCTTTACAGAAAAGTAAAATACACTTTATCCCCGAATAATTATATAGGAAGGAAATAAATTCCTAACACCATTTCATAAAACCCAAGATAGTGGCCATCAAAACATATGGTGGAAATAGCACTCACACTCTTCAGTTTAGGTCACACAGGACAAGCTTAATGGAGTAGCTCAAGTGGCAGGTGTGTGACCATCATGGTCAGGGAAGTTGGGCACAGCTAAAACCGACTCTCAATATGTCAGGACTGCTGTTCTTTAAGGCAAGAATCCTGCTCTGGATTCCTCTCTCCCTCGTGATGAGCCTGTCATTTGGGTGGCTTTGCCCTGACGCCCTCCTCCCTCAGCTGCCTTACCACCTACGGTGGTGACAGAGAAGGCTGACCTGCTGCCGCAGCGCTGCCAATGGCCTGTAGAGTTGAGCGGCCACTCCCTGTTCTTCGAATGGTGCTGCTACCCCCATCTGAGTTCTGGTTTTCAATCTTGTGCTCTACCCGGGCCAGCTCCTGGATCACTTCCTGGTAGCACTCCATGAACATTAGTTCCCCTGAGCTGGGCGAGGACTTCAGGTTGAACATGAACACCACCTGGCATAGAAGAGGGAGAGTGTGGGTTGTGGTAGGCCCGCTGAATTGGGGGATGTCTAAAGATATGAGATCTTGCCTGTCATCAGAGTATGGTCCTAAGATATCTGCTTTATAGGGTTGGAAAACCACTGCATGTTAGAAGAGTAGATCAAATATAGAGATAACTCATATAAGTCAGCAAGAAAGCCACCAAAGCCCCAGCAGAAAACAGGCAGAAGACACAATTTCAAAGAGAAAATAAGCATGAGTAATATACACAAAGTATCGTATGTAAGAAAATACACATAGTAATACAAAGATGAAAAATGTTTTCCCTTCCAGTAATCCCGGAATTTAATATTAATACCATTTTGCATCTATCACAGTGACAAAGTAAAAATAAATCCTCAGGAGGTGGTGGCAAAACGAACTGTCATAACCTTTTTTGAGAAAAGCAAAATTTGGCAATCCACAAAGCTTTAAAAACATGTATATTCTTTGACTTGGTAATTTTCATGAGAAACTTTTTTAAGGAATAATTCAAAAGGCTAATGCCTAGAGGTGATAACCTTGGCGCTATTTATTACCACTATTACAAAGTTGAAAATAATTTAGATGTTAAGTAATGGTGAAATGCAGCTACCTGATCAGACTTTTGTAAAGTCATTAAATCAGTTACAAGGCACATTTTAAAAAGGCACTATATAGTGTTAGATTTAAAATAATCTCAGCTATGTAAAAGTCATATATACTTTGAAAAAATACCGGCAAAAAATATACTTTATTTTTTATATTGGTTGTTCTAGAAAATAGGGTTATAAGAAATTTAATTTTCTTATTATTTTTGGTATTTTCTTTTAATACTCACAACTTCTTCTGTAACCAAGTTTAAAAATAAAGCGTTTATAAAAAAAAA